CGACGAAATGAATTTTCGTCAGCGTACCGGAGTCAAATAAATCTAAGAAATGAATCGAAACCGGTAGTTCAGGGTCTCGACTGCTCCAGACGCGTGCGACTACATGATCTTACCAAGGGTATTGAACACAGACGCGACGGTTTGGTTTGTTGTTGTCATGCTCGTTTTCCCCCGGTCGAAGATCCAATGAGCACACACCCTATTTCCGTTGGTATGCTGTGCACCTTCGCGTCCGACCACAAACGCTCGGTCTCTCCAGCCGTTTGAGCGACTCGATCCAGGACACGGTTGACTTAAGTATGAAAACTAGGCACATCACCAGTTTTTTTGGTAGTCTGACGGAGTAACAGCAGTCAAATACAGATAGACGATCATTTGCTTGAGGACCTTCTACGTGCACGCGGGAGCTTTGTTAACAAATGCTCCTGACCCCCCTACAGGCAATAGCGCTCAAGAACTTGTCCTTTCATGAGCAGAGGCTTCTCGATAGTGGCCCGATGCTGAGGGAACTTCTCGAGCAACTGATTCTTCGCCTGTCGGTACTACTGTATGACTGAGTGTCGAGCCAATAGCTGCCTTTGCAGCCTTCCTGAAGGCGAGATGCAATCCAAATTTGCCGACAACAGCCGCTAAGATGCGCCACGAGTTGTCGCGCCACATGCATGCTTCTAGGTACCCCCAGGTGACGCCTTCATCTCTTCGACAGACTTCCGGAACGACCGCGTTGCTGACTCCCGAGATCGGTTGGTGTTAGCCGGTCTGAGATCTTTCAAACTCATTTTGGGTCAGAGGCGTCGGGGCTTGAGTGTTATTTGTAAAATATGCGAATGTCTTATGATCGGTAAGGGTATTTCCATAATTTCGCTGGTCTCTCCGACTTGATATGTCGGAGATGTGGTTATGTAGCCATCTTATACCATTGAGGCCACCGATTGGCTGAAAAAGATGCCTTTACGTATTGAAATCGCCAAAATGACCACTCAGCTCAGAACTTTCGTTTTATTGGACAATATTAGCCATAGTTAATAAAAGTTTGGTGGGATTTTTGAATTAATTCATCCATGAACCAACAGTCACTTTTAAATTTCCGCAAATTTGATAGATACTCACGATACGTTCTCCGTACCGGATTCGACGAATAAAACGCAACGATGCCAAACATGCAACAGCACGACCGCATTCTTAACACGACAAAAATACGTACGGGTGTCACCCCCTCCGCAATGGATAAACTTATTGGTTAGCATTAATTATAATAGTTTTGAAAAACAGTTTTTCCCCCCAAAAATGTACACATTATAAAACAAGATTAAAAATCTTTATTCTTCTTCGTTATTGATATTTTCTCTGACTCTTCTGGCGGGTCAACTATAAAGTTTTATTCGGCATCCCGAGATCCATAAGACACGATGCCTGGCTTAATAAAACGCACAATTACTATGGTCCGTACCGCTTTCCATGCGTTAATTACAATTTCTGTAATTAACGCACGTCGAGCAGGGGCTCCTTGAGCAAAGTCGTTGACAGGTTGGTAGTTCACGTAGTAGTTTCTGCATAAACCCTTGAATTCTCTCATCACTTAAACATCCATGGGCTGGGCTAAAAACCAGTAATCCCAGCAGAAATGAACTCTGCCGCAGTACAGCATTCGTTTTCAAGTGCATAGCGCACAGAGGCCATTTTGTGGATCTTTAGCGAGTTTAATAGCAGCAGCCGAGGTCCACAGACACTCGGCTTCTATGCCTATTTAATAAACAGTGCAAAGAAAGAAAAAAAATAAAAAAAAACCTAAAAAAAAAAAAATATACAATTCAAACATCATCTATCCACTCAAGCATGCGCTCCTCGTCGCAAGACGCTTTTTTGGACTGTGAGTATGTCTTTCGTGCGATAGTTCTCGTTCTACATGAGATCTAGATGAACTGGACCATTGTGGGTCCCTCCAAATACAACAAAAGGGAGCAACTTTTTCCCCGTAGCCGAGGCACACAAAAAACAGAAGCTCGGAAGGAATTCTCCGACATTCCCGAATTACAATAAAAAAAACGTTAGATAGTAAAATCAAAGAACCAAGCACAGCAAAATTACCTTGAATCGCATCAACATTTTTAGCATCAACGAACTCAATCGTTCGCTTGGGCCCCATGTCAATGTAAATTGACGTCTGATCCATATTAAATACTGATTTGTATTTTGCCGGACCCTTGGTAGCAGATAGCAAACCGACCATCTCTAGATTGTACTGAATAGTTCTTGAAAAACGATCTGCCACACCCTAAAATCAAATCAAAATTAAAATGACAAATATGTAATACCTGTAATTCTATGCGGTTTTTGGCGCCACTGTGGGTAATAACCCGCACTGATAGGCGATTACGAAGCCGAAACCTCCTAATAGTAGCTACAGTATCCTCTAATGAACTCCAGGTAAGATAGTGGGGTTCGCAGCGGACAACCATGAGTATAAGAAACTGGCTTGTTACGTCTATACAAAATTGCTACTATTAGAAAATTATTTTTTCCACATCAATAATAAAATGATATCCCTCACACATTGACCTGTTCTTCCACATGACTGTAAATCATCCTAAAAGACTACAAAATAGGTAGTATAACTCAACAACTTCCAATGGTTAAACGCAACAAAAATTATGAAGAACATACCGAGATTCTAGACCAGGAAACCGTAATTTCACGCCCCTCTTACCTTCTTGTTCTTGTGGCTTGGGCCTTGAGCGTCCGTTATCCGGTCCTCCGCATGAACCCAGCGCCACAATGTCACGCGGTGGACGTCGTACTTGTCGGCCAACGCCTCGGTGACTTCACCAGCAGCCCGGACTTCCAAAACAGCCAAGGGATAAATTTATATATATAAACAAATATTTGTAGGTAACTTATTAAGAGTCGAATCTCTTACCTCCCGTCGCTCTTCATTGGTGCATTGAGCTTTAGTTCGCATCAATATCTGCATACAAAATGCGCGGTTAAATGAGATGGGTGGAGCAGGTCGAATTTGTGGCCTCTGCTCTACGTTTCAATATTTACGACTTTTTACTTTTTTACGATTTGACTTGGAGATTACATTTTACAGCGTTGCATCATCAACCTCCATTACTTATTCAGTACCATTTTAAGAATTCGTTGGCAAATCCGATCCTTCTGGCTGCCCCTGTTCGTTGACCTTGTATGGGAGCTGCGATATCCCTACTGAGGTTCCTTCTGCGCAAATCAACTCGTGCGCAACTTATATTTGGACCAACGCTTGCGCAACTTGA